TATAAAAACAGCAGAATAGAGTTTATTAAATATTACCAAATATCATAAATTTCGGTTTACACAGTGCCAGAGCTAAAGCAAAGTTTAAAAGAGAAATTAATGTATGGGATGCGAATACGAAAGGTAGAAACCGCAGGAGAGGTACAAAGCCTCAGCATCGGACCAAATAAGAAAAAATAAGCTATAAGCTAAGCGTATGCCATTTTTTTAACTGTGCCTTTTTAAGTTTATTTGTCAGAAAGGAGACACGCACATGCACAATGATTTATATCAATGGCAACTGCTACTTAACTGTATGTATAGAGAAGAGTGTCCAAGGTGCATGAACAGGATATGCGAGTAATATGCTGGTGATGGAATTGAAAACGAAGAAAAACAGATAGGGAGACCAAGAGGGTTATTAGTAGACAAGCGAAAGAAAATAAACTTTTTGATTTGACACGTCTTACATAATGCATATGAAACTGAGACTGCATTAATGCAAAGCTCTTCAAATAGCAGTATGTTTACCTATATATATATATAGGTAGTATGCACATAGTCCATATACACGCTGATCTCTACGTTATTGTGGTCGTTCGCATCATGCATGGTACTACATCGTACTCGAGAAGATCAAGTTGCTATACAAGTATACAGAAATAGGTGAGATATTTATAAAATGTACAATGTCAAATGGAATTTACAAGGAATACTAGAGATATAGATGATGGCGAATTTAAGATGAGGAGAAGGAGGAAGCAGCTGTGGAGTTCGCGCGTTGTCGTTTCGTTGGTCTCAGTTTCGGACTTGTAGCGCATGCTGGCAGTGGTCGCACACCAAGCAGGCTGTTCACCGTACTTGCTCCTTGGATTGTTTTGGGTTTTTGTGCATTAACTGTCGCCAACATGACTTGTTTTATCTGCCATACAAAGTGGATCAATGAACCCATTTGGACTGCAAAATCATTGACGGATGCTGGGAAGAACATCGGTTCAGTCTTTGTTAAACGACAGACATACGTCGACGGTCGGTCCAAAAGCAGTGCAAATATTTTCAATCCTGCATACAGAACGACGATATACGTCAGAGAGAAGCACCATACTTTTTGATTACTGCTATGCAATTTGCTATAAATACAATACCTGATATGATGAGACCAGCGATCACCAGTTTATTTATGTCTGCGAAGTTTGAAGCCAATGACCACGTCATGTCTTCCATCATTTTTGGTGCAATCAAACCGGCTTCGTACTTCTCCTTTGTTCCTTCGTCACCGTGGTCTGCTTTGCCAGCTACACAGCAGCCATACTCGTAATGCTCGCTCTTCATCAAAAGGTCAGTTTTGTGTCCTTGCGCTTTTCTGTTGTTGATGGCACGACCTAAGTTTCGACGCAAGCTCGACGCATTTGAAGCCATTTCGCCACTAATTTGCAGTCAATATGTATTATGATAAAAGTATGCTCATAGGGTTTGCTATCCAAGAACTTGTCAAAATTACCTTCGTATGTCGATCGGGATATTGTCAAAGGCTTTGTCGATGAATATCCAGACTCTCTTGAGGATGTCGGACTCGGTCTGGTCGGTAAGCGGGAAAAATTGAGCAGGGTACAGTCGCAGCGCCGTTTCAATGCTCGACTGGGCCCAATCCATCTCAGATTCGGCTTCGTTTTCTAGATCGAAAAACTTGCTGCACGCATGATTCATCAGCTCATGATAAGTTTTCTTTTGAGTTTATTAAGAAGATTGAGCTTAATGCGCATAATATATAGTTTGGACACTAAAAGAGTACATATACTAACTTTTCCGACAAATGTGTCCAGATATGTTATGAGTTCTACACAGATAGGTGGCAAACGTTTCTTTTTGGTGTTAACGATGGCGTTCAAGTCCCTCTCGTCAGGAAACCAGTTGATCCACACTTGGTCGTTCACGTCAAGTATGAAGGAATGAGCCGCACTATCACATGCTGTACATGAGTAGAGTGTTTACTACAGTTATGATTTCAATGTTGATGATGAATAGACAAACTTACTGCTCCTGAGTACAGGTGAGGCCAAATTCCAACATCACATCTTCCACAACAGCACCCGAAGGTAAGACCCATTTCGAGTCATCCTTCATCTTTGCGTGTTTTTCACGAAATTCTTTCAAGAATGCCTCGGTCACCGGTGCTGCTGTATTGGTACTAGAGTTCGAGTCTGACTGAGCACTATTTTCATCCAAACCAGCCGAAGCCAAAGATGATGCTGATGGTCGGAAAGACGGAAGGTTTTTGATCTTAGGAAGAAAAAGAGAACAAACTTAGAGAGCGACACTGCAAGTAAAACGCGTCAAAGTCGTACCTTTAAGGCATCGAGGGCGATCGAGCCCCAATTTGGTTTCTTTTGCATCATAACCGGGCTAGGATCTACGCCATACTTGGCCTTGAACGCTACAATGTAACGCTTGGTCCAAACACTCGCCAAGTCTTCACCACTGCTCACATGCTTAACAATATACTCCACATGTTTCGACACGAAGTCGAAAAGCGACGAGCACTCGCTGTTGACATCGAAGTAATTTTCGAAAACTTTACAATGAACAAGAAGTCAGTTTATGCCGTCATTCTGTTTCCATAGAGATTGTTACCTTGGTAATGGGAGGGTGGGTTGCTTGTTGACATTTCGAATACCTTGGCAACCGTAAATGAGACAACTGACTGTGGCGGCATTTGCCTCTCGTGTAGTAACTTGAAAATGTGTGACGTTGATTCTGATGTTCACCTATTGGGACATTGCATACTATTTAGTTACATTAGTCATGCATCATAATAAAGGATGGCTCTCCTCCCCTTTTCTCTCTCTTGACTCGGCTCAGTCAAGTGGTTGCTCTGTATGTGAAGGTGCTAGAGGGTCCACTGCATTAATGGCTTCGGTTCAAGCAATTAACGGTCTTTGTCTTTAATTAGTTTTCATCAACACTGTATATATCTCTCTCGCTGTATTTCAGTCGTTCTTCGCTGTACATCAATCTATACATCGCTGCTCAGCAGTCGTTATTATCGCTGTCCATTTTTAGGCTAGGTATGGATCAGTTGTTTTATTTTGTTGTCTATCATCCCCAATTCGTATGGGAATTACAAAAATTGACCTCGCGCACGACAATTTTTTTTGGTAGTTTAGTATTCCGCAGTTGCCGTGCGCACCGTCTCTCGCACAGTTTGAAAGACCCTGCGCACGACAGAACTATGATGATATATGCCGAGTAACTTGAACGTTAACATACCGTGTATCCAAATGGCAAGCAAACAACTTTGTGCCAGCATAAGTATTATAATATAGTGAAGCACAAGCGAGACGATTTCTTAGTCAGCACAAAAAGACGTAGCTAAGACCATAGAAAAGTGGGTAGACGGTGCACCAAGTGTTTTCACCAATTTAATATCAATGACGATGGTATTGGCTGCAAAGACATATCCTGTGTTTCGTGTTCCGAAAATTGCCAGAGCTAGGGCTGTCATGTAATTTTATGCAATTACGTAAATTCTTGACGGTCAGTGTAATATTCGACGTACATATAATGAATGAAAGATGATAATAATGTGTCAACCAAATAGTTGAATATTTGGAGGACGAAGAACAAAACATATAGTAAGAAATAAGGGATTAGGAAAATAGGTGTTTAAATGATTATAAAGAACAATTACATCCGGAGACAAGGCACAAAAGCTTAAATATGAGACCAGAAGAACATAAATCGTCGAGTACGTTGAGGTAAACGACAACTGCCAAAAAAAATTGTCGTGCGCGAGATCGATTTTTGTCGTGTGCAGGGTCTTTCAAACTGTGCGACAACTGCGGAGTACTAAACCACCGAAAAAATTGTCGTGCGCGTAGTGGTTCCCATTCGTATCCTCATTCTTGTAAATCTATTGGCAGAGGTGAATAGTCTGTTATTTTGGGCAGGTCAAGAATGAGGCCAGCGGGGGTCCAAATTCACAAGAAATTCACAAGAACCACAAGAATTTTCCTACAGTGTCTAACTAGCAATATATATGATTGACGATGAAATCAATAAGGGAATGTAGAGCTTCAAAACCTAAGTGCTTCCAATAAGGATTTGAGTCTACTGTCCGTCTTTTAAATGATATAAAAGATGGGCATGAGTACACATTCAAGTAGCAAAGCATTGCATGAGCATGATAAATTCTACCCAGCAATAAACTTCGCTGATTTTTGTAATCGGCACCTGTTTTGGAAGGAAAGCTGCTGCTATTGTGCCTTCAGATGAGCACTACTTGAAGAACTCGAAAGAAGTAGCGATTTACTATCTTGACGGGTGCTTAAAAAACGCGCTTTTGGTTTTTTGGGTTGCCTGTGTGTCTGTCCGTGAATCGATGCCATATTGTTTGTGCAGCGATTGTGTTGAGCAAGTAGAAACTTTTCTTCAAGTAGAAGCAGCGCCTAGATAGCCTTTGCGTCTGTTCAAGACATACACATTCTGTGGTCAGGCCTCCGCTTCATCTATATTATTAACTTTATGTAATCAAACCATTATTCTACTACTGTTGCTTTTGAGAAATAGTGTGTTTCTCTATTTAGCAAATTTATCATATCCAAGTAATCTTGTTCATTTTACTGCTTATTCAGGCCCCACATTTTTTGTGGAAATTTCAGCTACCGAAACTGATAAAGTATGTTCCTCCCATTTTGGGCTTTGGGTGCGCGCCGTTTCCACTCCATGAAAGTATAAAAAGACACTCTGAAAACCCGTTCTCTTTCTGTTCTTCTGCGCTGTTGCGAACAAACAGTAATGCTCCCTCCGTCTCTTCTTGAACTAAACAGTGGTGAACCGGAGATCCAAACCTTGTCAAATCTATGGGTCAGTGCTAATGCGGCATTCGATTCGTGCGATTTTGGTGGTGCCTTGTCTGACTTGGATGCTGCGGTTGCCGAGGTTGAGCAGAACGTGTTAGCTATCGTTTTGCTGAAACGTGCAGTTGCCCACAGCTGTCAGGGTAATACCCAAGCAGCGATCCAGGATGCATACAAGGTTATAAAGCTGGCGCCGCGTCTTCCTGAAGGGTATCTCTGCGCTGGTAGTCTGCTAAAATCCGCTAAAAGATATGGGGAGGCGATCGAGATCTACTGGAACGGCATTCAGGCTACTGAATCCTTTGGAGACACGAACGACTGTGCCTCCAGAAAAAACAATGAAGGACATCAGCGCATAGTACGGGCCAAGCATATTATTGAAGAAAGCATCAATCGGATCAATGACCAACCCTTGAAGAAGCTACCACTGGAGCTGGCCCACCATATCTTTTTCGATCTGCTTTCGTTTGAGGACCGACTGCAAAGTATGTATACGTGCCGCTGGTGGAGAGCATTTCTGGTGGAGGAGCTACCGCGGATATCTCTCCGTTTGGTACTGGGTAGTATGCCAAAGCAAGCAATGGTACAACTTGTCGCAGGCTATAGTAGCCGTCATCTCAATGAAGAACTTGGATTCAAGAATCGACATGCTGTGTCGATCCTTCCGAACACTTCCGCCGTATCATTTAAAAACGCGCTTATGCTGTTGAATGATTTCTCTGTTCGCATCAAACATCTTGGTAAATATTCATTTCTTTTACAATAACATAAGAGAAAGGAAGAATAAGTGGACAAGTGCTAGCGATTCATAATGTATAACATTTAGACGTTTTATCTGAGCTGGATGGAAGTGAAGCTGTCAAGGAATCACTTGGACGCGTTCTGCGACAGAACAAAACTACTCTGAAGAGGTTGACTCTCTGCACCTTTAAGGATGTTCCCACTACAGTGGATGCACTTGACAACTGCCCGAATCTATCGCACCTTATCATTTCCGGTCACCACAATCTTTTGGCCGAGGACTACATACCAAGCACCACGTTTTCTGGAAGAAAAATCAAGTTCACTGATTGGGAAAATACCTGTCGATATGCCATCCTAACCAGGCAAGGCCGAACGGACAACACACGGCAAACTGATACTGGGCTTGGAATGACTGATCTCGCATATGCAGCGGTACTTGCGCAGGAAAGAAGGCAGCGGCTTTCGCTACCCAAGTGCCCCACAGCCAGGCATCGACAACTGAAGCGACTGGATTTACTCGGGATGGAAACGACACACTTTCTCCATCCTAGTTTCTGGCAGCACTTGTCGAACCTCGAACACATTGCAATCAGCACTCCAATAGGTCTATCGGAAGACTGTTACTCCATCATCCAGCATCTCGGAGATTCGTGTCCAAATCTCAAAACGCTGCGTTATGGAATAGGGTGGGAAGGCTACACTGGTATCGATGGTGCCGCCGATGGTGGCGACAACAAAATTGAAGAGGAAAGGAGAGGGGAGATAGACGAAGGGAAAGAGAAAGGACGAATGTGTCGTGGTCTCCGGGAACTTGCTGTGCGAATCCGTAAGGGCAATCCTGCTGTCGCTGGAAATGAACCGGACATGACCTTTACGCTCTTACGGCCTGGCTTCTGTGATGCGTTACAAGTCCTGAATCTCCAATTGAATTTTACGACACAGGTTGAAGTGGAAAGGCTGGTACAGTCGCCTATGCCTCGTCTTCGGGAGCTCCAGCTTCATGTGCACTATCATAGTTTAATCTTTGGCACGATCCAACCGCACCTAATTGCGGCTTTGGTAAAAAATTGTCCAGCTTTGGAACGCGTAGTGTTGAATCGTACGAGACTGAGCGCGGATGCCCTGTTTGAATTTACCAATGCAAGACAGCAACTGCGCTCCTTATGCGTAGCACAGGAAATTCCACTGACACCTATTCTCAATGTGGCTCCCATGCCTCGCAACCCCAATGATTTACCCGGTGCCACCGCCGTCGTAACAAATGCTCCTGGTCCAACAAACGGCATACCTGCTACAACAGCATTGTCTTCTAATTTGCAATATCAGATAACAGTGCAGCAGCTTAGGATGCGTTTGGAGCGACAAATGGCTACACCTGGCTTGACTGATCTGCAGCGTATGCTGTTGATGCAACAAACGCAACAACGGATCGCTGCTGTTGTTAACAACGGTGATCCTGCCGGAGGAGGAAGAGGACATCTGCCAAAGAGTATTTTTAGACAGTTTGCTGCAAAATACACTCGTCTTACTGATATTTGTATTGCAAGTGCTACTTTGAACGATTCAGACCTTGCAGCTTTAACATCCAACAACCACGCTTTGGCGACTATCAAGCTGATCGCTTGCCAATCACTTACTGCCAGCGGACTCGAAGCTGCCTTCTCGTCTCGTTGCGTCGCTCAGATGAAAAACGGGGTTCTTTCGTCACTGCCATTTCCACAACCCTTGCGTCATGTCACCTTGGTACAGATGAATATGCTGGAAGGGTTTGTCATCACTGGTCTGGTCAAGGTGCCAAGCTTGGAAGAGCTTGTCCTCATCGAGTGCCAATGGCTGGATTATTCTACAGTTCTGAAATCCATCGAGGAAGGCCAGCATCAACGACGCATATTCGCCTCTTGTTCGGACAACAGCCCCGTCACCAATAAAATCAAAGCACCATCACATACGAAGCAGCATGTACTGAAAACTTACTATATATGCAATCTTTCAGAGCAGTTTGCCTATCCGCAAGAAACTCGATTAATCGAATGTATGCCGTGGCAACAATCTCTTGTGACGAGAACTCTGCCAGATATTGCCATCGCAAAGCCTATATTCGACTACATCTGACGACTACTTCCAATGTTATTACCACTATCATTAGCAACATGTCATAGCCATAACATGTTATAAATGATTCAATTTAATATAGCTACTACATCGTAGCATCAATTACATTGGAAATTTGAATATGACGTAATGAGAAGCAAATAAAAGAAGCATACATCAAATCTACAATATTTTTAATGGCGAGTGCGACAACAGCGCAAGTGACAATACCGAGTATCATACAACGGTGAGCACTGCAAAGTTTTTCCGGATATAAAAGACATTGACCGTTGCCTTCTTATCAGAGTTAGCGAGCAAACGGCTGGTACTCTTCGGTTCCCAAAAGGGAGACCTAGAAAAAAGGAGGGGCCAAGTTGTTCAAGCTGCCTGAATCCAATTTGTACATCGTAGAACGCTCGGGATCCGCTTTCATTCCAGAAGACGTTTAGGACTGACTGAAAAGACATAGTATGGGTGAAGTGGGCTAAGTAGATATGTAAGCTAATGACATCAAACACTTGCAGCTAAAAAAGAATGGAAAGCAACTACGTAAAATGGCCCTTTACTAATAATGTAACTATATCTCAATAATGAGCATATACTGCCATGCTATCATCACGACACCGGTTTGAAGTAGACAATCACAAGGGCAGTCAGTTAATGGGTATGTGCTATAATAAGAAGGAATACGATTAACAATATTATTAAGTGAGCGTGAGTTTTGTGTGAGTGTGAGTGTGTGTATGATATGTTTGTGTGAAGAAATGAGTAAATTGTGTTTCGTGAGTGAGTGAGTGATTGAGTGAGTGTGAGTGACTTTTTTGGATTTTGTGTGCGAAGAGAAATGTATTTTTCGTTAGAGTAAAAGATGTAAGAAAGAGAGAGTGGGATATGTTGTTGTGTTGTATATAATGTGGATTGAAATATGTTTTGATTGTGTGTGTGTGTGTGTGTGTGTGTGTGAGTTGTACGATATCTGTGGCGGAGGATGGGATGGAGAGTAAAAGGATGGAAAAATGAAGAGTACACATGCAAAAGAATTAGTATATGGTATAATAAAAACGCAAAAGAGGTGAAGGAGAGTGTTCGTATGATGAGTTTTTTATAACTCTCAAGGATCGATAATAGCAAGGTTTTGAACCGTGGCGTCTACATCATCATCTTCGTCATCATTATCGCATTCTTCTTCGTCTTCGTCGTCTTCTTTTCGTAGTAATTCCAATTTTCTGGTTTCTTCAATTAAAGCCACCATTTCTTCGGTATTTGCCACGTTTGACAAGAAAGGATGCTAATAGGACAATATTTGTATAAGTTTTTCCATTTTCTTACATAAATCGACCCGCTCCTCTATTCCGCCGACTCATATAAAACCTGCTACACCTGATCCTCACCTTTAGTAACCCATCAGCATCCGGCCGGTCGGCGGGCTCGGTCATGGTACATAACTGGACAAACTCTTTGAGCTCTGTAGACCATCGATCCGGCTCAGGTAAAGTTGGCAGTCCATTTGAAGCGATTAAAAAGACGGCACGCAGAGGTGGATACTCCACGTAAGGTGGATCACCTTGCATCATTTCCATGATCAGTACACCCAAGCTCCAAATATCTGCCTTTGCATCATATTCCTGTCCTTTGATCACTTCAGGTGCCTAGTAATCGCTTGCTGTTAGACACAGTACTTTTATCACACATAAAGTCTTTTAAATATCGTTCATTAACTTACCATCCAATAGGGTGTTCCGATAATGGAGTTGCGTTTGGGCTGCTGTTTGGTCAATTGGGCACAATGACTGAAATCGGCTGAAAATTTCATACATCAAAAACGCATCAACAAATTATAACCCGCACAAGATGCCAACAAGTACAAATAAACATATATACTTACAAAGTTTGACTTCGCCACGCAGGTTGAGCAATACATTATCGCTACGAATATCACGATGAATTCGATGTAACCGATGGATCCGACATAAAGCGCGCAAAAGATCTCGTGCGATACGTGCCATGATTGCTTCCCGAACAATCTGGTCTGTGCTTTCATTTTCCATGTTGACGGCAATAATATCCGCGAGTGATACATCCATGCATTCCATAACAACCCAGATTTCGTCCTCAGTAGAATAACAGCCAATATATTCGACGACGTTGGGATGACGGCTCATTTTCATGGTGGTTAATTCATTTCGGATTGTGCTCAATTTCTGTTTAGCGGTTTTGCTGATCTTTTTAATGGCAACCTGTGGGGCAACGTATCAAATCATCAACTTGTCCGTGTGCTTTTTTTGGCGGTATGTAATGTAAATATGACGCTTTTTTTTTGTTCTTACCAGTCGGTTAGTTGCAATATGTTTTGCAGCATACATAGGTCCGGATTCACCTTCAGCGATTAGTACAAAGTCATCATACACGGTATTCGGATCTGCATTTTCGATAATATCATCTAACAAAGGGGAGGAGCAACGAGAAAAAACGATTAGTAGCTGGCATTACATCATGCAGACTTCTAGAAAAAGGATTGCATAAAATAAAATTTTCTCACCGATAAAGCTAGAATCCAAAGAAAGATGGCTCTCCGATGCAGCTAGGGCGTTTGGCGGCACATCATCTGGAAAAAGAAAAATGTATGCATATACATAAGTCAGCTGAACGGGATTGTATAACCCAGATAGAAACATTACTTACCAAGAGCGTCATCACTAACAAGCGGTGGGGGAGTAGTAGCGAGAGTTGTTGTTGGTGGTGGTGGTGCGGTGAGGGAGTTATTTCGTGTCAAGTTGGGCAATTGTAGTAGTTTTGAGGACCTTGCTCGCGTGGGTGGTGCGTATCCCACAGGTAGCTTCTGACGATGATTAGGATCTGGACTGTTTCGACTTTCATGGGGCGAATGCGGCGAGTCAGGAAGCATTTGCTTAGCTTGCAGCGAATCCGGCATTCGTACTTGCATCAAGTTTTCCACTGTTTTTGGATGTGCGATAACAACTTCGTCGGGAACACCAGAAGCTGTTAGAATTCGTTGCCATTCTTCGGGTAATCCGATTAAACCGTTTCCTGCTGTGTCGATTTGAACGTGTACGTTGTGCTGGATATTGTATGGTTTTCCAATGACAGAGGGTGACTTCTTTAGTGATTTATGGCGATTAGGATGGTTACTGCTGCTATTACTACTACTGGTGTTGGTATTGTCGCTGTGATAGAATTGATGATGATGATGATGGTAGTTATGATGGCGTTGTGAAGCTAAAATAGTTTTTCTCCTTCTCGTCAGCATAATAACGGAAATGCACGCTTTGCATGCAATATATAAACATATTATATTTACGTCGAGAATCCGCGGACTGAGGTACGAGGTGTGGGGTTATGTAATTTGTATCCAGGATATCGTCACTTGGCAACGACGTGTTCTGCCATACATCGGGCAATCCCTATAGCAATCCAAAGAAACGAAAAGGGAAAGTTGGGTTAGTCATGGATAGTGTGAGAGTTGTTATGCAGGCCTACACAGTTTGCATGACTCGTCCTCCTTTGCAATTCAACCTCACACTACTGTCAATCGAAATAGTACCATATATCTGCCATTATCCCTGTTGTATTCGACATGGATGCCATGCTCGAACTGTGTAGGTTTGCCGATATCCAAGATCTTTTCAGTCTGTTGTTGCTGTTTTCGCCACGCACTGGACTTGCTGACTTTGGAGGACATGGATGCGCTGGAAGGGTTGTTGTGGTTATAGAATCGTGCAACACTGGAAAGCGTCGAAGATGATTCCATTTTCTTTAAACTGCTGTGACCTGATGGTGAGAGTCCGGCGGTAGATGGTCGTGAATCCGGCTGATGATGAAACGTACGTTTAGCACTCGGGGTCGTTACGCTAGCTGCTGTCGTTGTTGAAGTAATGGATGTTGTTGCTGTGTTCGATGGAGCTGGATGCGTCGAAGCTTGTGTGGTTAATGTGTTTCCCATGTGCTGAACAAACAAAAAAATGGATTCTCTCTCTTTTTTTTTCTCGTGATGATGAATCGCTCAAATTTAGATATACAATAGTCGAAGTTGGAGATGGTCGTATTAAAAGAGACTAAAGAAGCGAGGGAGAGTGAGAGGTGAAAGAGGATGCGAGAAAGAAGGAAGAGTGAGAGGAAGAGGGGAGGAAAGAAGTGTGTGAATTGAATATACAGCAAAAAGTACCCACACGAAGCTTGTTGAACTATAGGAAGAAGGAAAAAAAATAAAAGAAGGGCTAAAGATAAGGTACCAAAAGTTTTGATTGAAAAGCGTGGTCTTTGCCCTCGATTTGCGCCAAGGTGGAGGATTCGCGAGTGATTCATTTCCCGAAAAAGAACAGCGAAAGCTTGGGTGGCTCGCGCTGAAGCGGAACCCCCTCAGACTTTAATTTTGGCTCATTGCTAAATAGAAGAAAAGTTTCTTTGCCGACGTTACATCTTTGGTTATTAGTGGGATGCATAAGAGCTTTTTTCAATGGGCATAGACAGGGCACGCACTTTTCATACGACAGCAATGCAGCTCATAACCCAATTTCGAATATTCAACCGAAACCTTACTTTTGTCCAGTGTTCTCACTATAACTATTACTGCCCCCCACCCTCAGTAAACAACCGAATTATGCGGGTATCCGTTTCGTTTCAAGTGATGTACCAAACGACTTACTCCTCGAGAAAAATACAGTACAGAAAACGATGAGGAAAAAGAAACAGATGATGGATTATTGGCATTGCTCGTGGCTGTTTGTTACGCTGGACCGAAATAAACATAAGCAGTAATAAGATGCAGAGGTTACACACATATGCCTTATTATGGGCAAGTAACTGACGTCTTGATACCACGTATAGATCCTTATTTTCCCTTTCTGTTAAATCACCATGCTATATAATTGTATAATGCGGTATACATCAGTTGAATCACAATTACAAACCAGTGGAGAAAGGGAAGGGCAAAACTAACATAGTAATATAATTACTTCTTGCTCCAAGTACAAACCAATACCAGCTTGTATAGTCAGAACGCTTTCTATGGTTTTTCAATGAACATCATCATCAATAGTTGAACCCTTTATCATATTGTGTATATTGCTAGCAATCAATGGATAGTAGCATAAAGTATTGATGTCGATGCTTGCGAGAATGACAGTGAGTTGACTATTTTGCCAATGCAAAAGCTAATATGCTCGTCCCTGCCATCGAACGTTCAATAGCGATTTTATGCCAGAGTTTACTATGAAACTGAGAAACTTTACAACTCCACCCGACGATCCCCGGCAAATAGTTATCCCGCCATGATCACACGCCTTTTTCTCATGGAAAGAACTCCGAGGCAAGCACGAGCACTGCACATAATAGCCCAGGATACGGCAGGCACAAAAGCTGCACACTTACTACTCCCATTCGAATCCCATGAAGCACTCTAAAAAAGGTGCAATTTGTATATATCTTGGTTGTCTAAGACATTGTTACTGGTAGCGTAAGGGGAAATAATAATCCACGGTAGTGCAGACGCTACAAGTACAGGAATATAATTTCTATGTTATTGTATGTACGAGGAAAAAGAAGGGTAAGAGAATGGTTTGTGCGCATATGTAACGGAGTGATTATTGCTGTTGCTGCTGTTGTTGTTGAGTTGTCTGCGTGCGAGTGGTGTGTATGTGAATAGTGAAGAGAGTGAGAGTGAGAGTGAGAAAGATCAAATGAGAACGTGATGGAGGAAGAGGGGTGAGGGAAATAGATATGCAATTTTACTTGGTGCTCGTTTAAACCAATCCAGCGGCGGCCATGGCCTATACAGAAACAGACAGAGAGAAAGAATGGACTCGTAAGCAAAAAAAGGTACATGATTTTTGTCATCGAAATCACGACGATTAGGTAAGCATCAATTGTTCATTTCCCGTTACCTCCTTGAGCTGGACACCGAGCTTGGCGGGCGAAGGAGTAACGATAACGCCAGCATCCTCCAAAGCCTTGATCTTGTCTCCAGCACCACCCTTACCGCCAGAAATGATGGCACCAGCGTGACCTGAAGAGACATTGCACTCGTAAGCATTCTATTGTTTAGTAGGACCGAGAAAGCCAGCACTTACCCATTCGGCGGCCAGGAGGAGCAGTCAAGCCAGCAATGAACGAGACAACGGGCTTGGGGTTCTCACGGGTCTGGTTGTATGCCTTTAAGAAATCGGCAGCTTCTTCTTCAGCAGTACCACCGATCTCACCGATCATGATAATACCTGAGGAGTGAATTGGTGGTTTCAATATTGTGTAAGCAACAACATCAATGGAACCCATACATACACCTTTTCACCCCGCACAATACACACGGTGCACACGTGTATACAAACCCCTCCACTTATCCTTCGCTTGTCCTACCACCACCACCACCACCACCAGAAATAAAGTTTACCTTCAGTTTCGTTATCTTCCATAAAGACCTTCAAGCAGTCGATAAAGTTGGTGCCGTTAAGAGGGTCACCGCCAATACCCACGCACAAAGTCTGGCCAAGACCGACCTCGGTGGTCTGGTTGACGGCTTCATAGGTCAAGGTACCAGAACGCGAGACAATACCAACCTTGCCGCGCTTGTGGATATGGCCGGGCATGATACCAATCTTGCACTGCTCAGGGGCAATGATACCAGGGCAGTTGGGACCGACAAGACGCGTCTTGTTCTGGGTCATCAAGGCCTGCTTGACGCGGACCATTTCGTGCTGAGGAATACCTTCGGTGATGGCGACAACCAAAGGAACTTCGTTCTCAATGGCGTCCAGGATGGCAGCTGATGCACCAGCTGGGGGCACGTAAATCACACTAGCATCAGGCTTGGCGACTTCGACGGCCTGCGATAACAAATGGACTCCCTTTTAGTCAACTAGCTCTTCCTCACACCTCACCTCCAAAAGAGCGGTATTCTCTCTCTCTCCCCCGCATTCTGTTAGATTTCCCATTATTTTTACCTCACGGACAGAACCGAAAACGGGGAGACCCAAGTGGGTCTGACCGGCCTTCTTGGGGGAAACACCACCGACCATGTTGGTGCCATAAGCAATAGCTTGCTCGGAGTGGAAGGTACCCTATAACGTGAGCAAACCAAACCATCAGTTCCTTTCGCTCCTAGTATCCCTTTTCTTCTATATTCCTGTTTCCCTTGTATGTTTCAGAGTAAAAAAAACGTCCGTCTTATACCTGGCGACCAGTGAAGCCCTGGCAGATAACCTTGGTATCCTTGTTGATGCAAAGGTTCTTGGCGGTCGACTCATAACCAGCCTGGCTGGCGAACGAGCGACGAGCAGCAACTATTCAAATATTATAGATACAGAAACACATGTCAAAAATCCCAGGGCTTGCGTAATACTATATAAACCACCTCCCCCCCTAAACGATATAGGAAACGTAACATATAAACAGAGTAAACGCTTCTTTATTCGAGAAAGGAGGTGTTGTCGTGGTAAAAGGGTTGCGAAATGAGCGAAAGAAACTCACCAGAGTTGCGGGCAATAGTGGTGGCGACGTTTTTGAACATGACAGAAAGATTAAGTGTGAAGGAAGAAGGGGAAGACACACGCAAGAGGTTGGTAAAAGCTTGAAATACTTAGGGCAACCAAAAGATTCCCGCTTACTTTTCACATGTCGCTCCAAAGTCCGACACTCCTCGGGAATCCACGGGCGGTAAATGACGGGCAAAACAACGAAAGCCCTTTTGTCATCGGGACTACAGCCGATCCCCGCCATTTCCTCTTTCATAAGCAGCAATATCAGTAGGGATGCTTGAATTAGAGGTTCTCTTTAAGAATTGGTTCAAAGTGAAGAAGGGGCAGAAACAAGTCCTAAGGAAAGTAGTTTGAGATAAAAAAAGAAGTAGCATTTTGTCTAATCGACAAGCGTGTCATTTGATGCCTGTGTGTGTCTTGCGCCTCTCCCTTCCCAATCCATATCCATGAGGGTCCACGGATGAACTATTCATAGACGACAAGCGTGAAAGAACTGCTAACCTCACACGCATGTTTTACTTATTATGTAGCCCTTTAATTAACCACAGAGAGTAAGCAACGGCTCTTTCGAAAGAACAATTCAAGCTACATGCAAGGCTGGGATAAGGGACAGTGAAATGATCATAGATCGTTCCTTTTTGTTTGAGAAAATATCCCAATGCGGACTATTTGTTTCTGTTAAGAGTGAAATAAAAAGGGTCCCTTTCTTTTTAAACCGCTTTTGTGTTTGCAGAAACTCAACCCGTCCCGACCCGACCGATTATTTTTTGTCTGAAGCATGGTCTTTTGTATTCGACTATGATTGCTGCTGCCTATCTACGTACGCAAACAAGCGACGATCCCACTTGTAACATCCACCGGTAGTCATGGTTAATGGGCTAACAAGGTCGTCTAAAGCAACCAACAAGGGGCGTACCCTAGCATTGAAATTACATAGTGACCAGTTATTGACATGGCAACCATGCTTTTTTTCAAGCATGACAACCCCGTCTCCTTGGGTACATGACTATTTCTCGAATTTAAATGAGCTGTTTATCGGTTGGAACTAGAGAACAATCAACAGCATTTTGATCGACCGCGACGACATATCAGATATGCTTTTTTTGCCCTTGTACGACGCGCTGTAGTTCATTTTCCAGGTTTATCAGTATCATATCGCTGGGTGATGATATCACTTCCGGCACAATTTGAGTGCAATATTAACTGATCATACCAGGCAATCCCTTGATACTATGCTGCGTGGTGCTATGCTGTAATCAGAATTGCAAACATAGTTTCATCGTGCGTGACTTGGACAGTGCAACCCACATACGTAGATGTAATGGCATATCTCTGGGAACCAAAAAAAAAGGTGAGGTGGCGAATTTGAAAACCCGGCGGCATGCGAGGCCTTGTTTCCGTTTGTTCCGTGCGTACTACAGAGTCTCACTCTACTTTTTTAAACAATGTCAAAAAAAAGCGAACGAACGCGAATGGCCACTGTGACTCGACACGATCCGGAAGCAGCACAAAGGCATTTGAAACGACAACTGGATTCACTAGAACGAGACAATCATGATTCACTCAATGACGTCGAAGGACTCATCAATAATGTACTAGCACAACAAGAAGACGATTGTAAGCTCAACTACACCGGATCTTGCAACAATTATATGGAATAATTCTGAACGTGTTGTTAACTTCGTCCATTAGCTAAAGCAGCGCGAAAAAAGCGACACAAGGGAACCAAGGCCAATGTATATGCGGCGAAAACAAATTTAAATGTACTTCTTGAAGACGCTGTAAGTAGGGCGCATGGAAAGATGGGGAGAGAGAGAGCTCCAATTATCTACTTTGTACTGATTGTCAATCTGGTTTCCGATATATATCTCAATAGCGCCTCGAACTTCTCTCACCGAATACACCATCCTATCTCACCTGTTCTGCAGCTCCTTCACAATACCCACCTAGACACTTTTGCTCTGTCTGCGGTTTTTCTAGTTCGTACAAATGCCTACGGTGCGGCATGAAATACTGTTCCGTCAGGTGCCTTGGCACTCATCAAGAAACGAGGTTCGTAAACTGGAAATCGATAACAACTTTTCGCTTCTTTGATGGGTCATTAACAAACAAACTTTATTAAAGATGCTTGAAATGGACCGCATGATAAGGATTGGTAGAGTAATATGGAATTTTTATCTCCTTGTTTTGTAAATGTTTTTTGAATATTATTGCTATTATGTAAATATACACTACACTAGGGCTTCGCCTCCCTTTTATTACCGATCCATGCGTCTTCGTTTCGCAGTATCTTGATGCTCGTGGTGGTGGTGTATCTCGCTATTAATTGCATTTTGATTATAGACAAAGTGATTACTAGGAGGATGGATGATGCTGATTTTGGAAGTATCGTTGTTGTTGCCATCAATATTTGAATTGTCATCGGACTGTTGGTCATGGACTCGAAGGATATGGTACACCAGGCCCTCCCTCGTCGCATACAGTTTCGGGTGCAGACATTCCGCAAATACGCATCGATATGGCTCCTCGCCATAGTGTTGATCTGTCAAGTGTTTGATGACGTTGGTTTTCCGGTTGAAGTGTTGATGGCATGATGGGCACTGAAGTGGATGGTAGACAGAGTTGAGCAAACTTTCAACTTGAGGTGACAAGACGATCTTTTTTGAACCGCGTGGAGCACGTGAGCTTGTCGGTGGCCGTCCAAATGAGGAGACCCGCCATGAAGACATGATGTTCCTTTGTTTCTGAGCTTGCTGTTGTTGTTGGTTTTTCGGTTGTTTCGTCGTTGCTAACAAAGGGGCGATAGGTGAAGATGACGGTGACGTGGGGGGAGATGGTTGCTTTTTTACAATAACGGGAGGTGGAGACGGGGATGGAGAGGGTACAGCTGCCACTGTTGTGGAGGTGGTAATGGCGGTTGCTGGTGGTGTTAAAGTTTCCGGTTCTGATACTGCTGCTGTTGCTGCTCGTACAGGCGGTGTTGGTGGCGATGTGCAGGTTGGTGTTGTGGGTAATGAGTCGATGCCAGTGACAATGGAAGGCTGAGGATAAATGATGCTATCGTCGTTGTTATTGTTATTGTTGTTGATAATGCTGGTGTTGATGCTCATGATCGTTGCTGCTGCTCGTGCAGTAGTGTTGGGAGTAATTTGCTGAACCAAATGTGTGCGTGATATATGAAAACGTAGTGCGCTCTTTGTTCTAAAAAACAATTCGCAATGAGGATGCAGGCAATGATATCGAGGTGGATGGGTGGGGAAGTGCTTTTGCTGGTCTTGACGTGTGTGTGATACAACATTGCACTCAGTGCATTGAAGTGGAGGATAGACGGCGTCGATTAATGCTAGTAGAGACACATGGCTGTTTTGAATAGTCAGATTGATGTGATACGGAGCTTCTTCTCTTCTGCTGTTGTTTTCGTCGTCTTCGTCGTCGTCGTCGTTGATATCATCATTACTATTACTATTGTCCTTGTCTGTACAACTATTGTAAATAGTGTCATAGGCGGCGGTAGTGGATCGATATATTGGCGGTAACAGTACGGGTGGTGACCCACTCTGCTGCTTCTTCGTTACTAGGCCATTGTGCCTTTTTGGGTTGCAATGAACTTGGTTGGTTTGGTGCATGAGCTTTGGTCGCTTCAACCCGTGAAATCAACTTGCGGAACAAAACCAAGAAAAAAAAAGAGAGAGGGCGAATGGAAAAGGTGACTTGCTCTCTGCTCCCTTTTGTTCCAGCAAAAAAAAAAAAATAATTTTTTTTTTTTTTTTTTGGCCGAGTACACTCTTGGCCCTCATTCACTCACTCGCTCACTTATTGCACTCGTCTTTCCAAGCTTCCTATTTTGCTTCTTACCATGTTCTACGCGTAAATAGTCCAAAGCTCTCAACTTTAGATAAACTCCAAGGCAGTAGTTTCTGACAGTCAATGTTCCGGATTCATTTGAGTTTTAGCGAGTTTGTTTTTTTATGCCACACTCTCAAACTCTATTGCTCCCGGAGATGGAATAAGCGGTCGGGCACATCAACGTGGGGGAAAATCGCCCTATTCTCGAACACATGCACATGTTTTAATGTCCTCCCTTTCCTTCAATCATTTTAAGCTTGCCCTGATATATGCGCTGCACATTTACATGCTTTAGTTATCAATGCTCATGCGAGTGATAGGTGGGAGATATAGGTTGAATATGTCACACAAGCAGCTAATGACGGTTGGGGTTGCCTGCCTCAGGACAGATGGGTAATACTCAGTAACACACTTCTTTACCCAACAACATCGCTGGAAGCCCATGAGCTCTATGAAGCTAACTGACCAATAAGACTGTATTAAAACCACAGTTTGGGAGCGTAATGCATACAAGCATGGTATAATGGGAAAGTGTAAGGCGTGATAAGGTTACTGAGACGTGTAATCCTCATGCCCTTTGTTACGATTTACTGTATATGCCTTACGGGTGCATTTTGCATAGCTGCTGATGATGATCCGCTGGCTCTTCTTATTCAATAAAATGAAAAGGTCGCATAATCATCAGTTGCTGCCTAGGATAGGTCATGGATATGATGTTGATATCGATGGACGGTATTGAGTATAAATGTCAAATGAATTAGTATTTATGCTGTAGACTTACAATACATCACATTGTCAGGTGCAACAGGCCCAGAACCTATTATAGTTTATATCGTTGAAGCAGGTGCTGAAGTTATAACACGTTAGTCTATGATGGCTGGCAGCTAATCTTCAATTGCTATTTTTATATGGGTAGCCATGATCGTCTCGATAATATGCCCTCTTCCTCCATCTCAACGGCAAAAGCCTTGCTAAAATTAGTTGTTGGTAGTCTACTGAATATGTAACTTGCACACCATTCTGCACGCTTCTAGAAAGGGGCTATATTCAAATGGGAGCTACTTACGCTCTTGTAATAGCCTTAAGCTCATCCTTTCCACTCTGGTGGTGACCCTCTTCACACCAGTCTTTCCAACGAAGAGAGAACTTCCATTTTGATACCCCGACCTTGAAACGCCTCTTTCTTCTCCCACACTTTTTTCATCGATGCCAGCTGAATCAAAGTACCAAAAGCAACAGGCGCAGCCACGCGATGCACGAATAGTCTCTTTAATACTACAATCGTTGGGTGTTGAACAGTATGATCCAAAAGTCGTACCCCAATTATTAGAATTCGCTCATCGTAAGAATCACTATGTTTTCTTAAAACACATGTTCGCTTTGTCTTTGCGGTAATAAATAATGTTTCTACTTCGGATTGTAGGGTATACCTCAGATGTGTTGCAAGACGCGTTAATCTATGCCGAGCACGCAAGCAAAAATGATCTTGATTTGGACGATATACAACTGGCCATTCAAGGTCGAGTAAATCACTCTTTTACAAACCCGCCACCGAAAGAGGTACCTTTTTTAATAGTTCGTCGTACAAAGCAACAAAAAGTTGTTTTTAGCTGCTAACAATAAACTATTAAATTTTGCGGTTGGATGAATAGCTATTGCTTGAACTTGCTGAAGAAAAGAACAAGACCCCGTTACCACTCATTCCAGAGAAATATGGCATACGACTTCCTGCAGAGAAGCATTGCCTGACTGGCTTAAATTTCTCAATAGTCCCAGACGTAAGTAGCGACGTAATAGTGTAGAATAGATAATGTTGTTGACATAGGAGATGCGATGCCTACTCTCTTGATATTAGGCTCCTCCACCACCGCAACCCATTCTCGAACAACAAACATCCTCACTATCCGACGCCATGCAACCGACTTCTACGCTCTCTCCAGCCGATACTGGCACGCCAATGCAAGTGACTCCGGCGGCTACACAGGGCCCAGTGGACCAACAGGCAGAGCCGGGAGCAGCAAAGAGAACAAGAGAGGCAATGGAAGATGATGACTATGACTTTTAAAGGCCAAAACAAGGGAGAAGAGGCGTAAATAAAAGACAAACCACTACTGTAAATATACACACATTCAACTACGGATTCCATAAAGTTCCTCTTACAACAGTGTGATCTTTGTGTATGTTTGTTATCAGAAACAAACGAGATCTCATCTTTTTTGATGCTCCGGTTGATCCGGCATTTTTTTTTAATTTTCTATCTTTAAGTCATTTCTTATTCTTCTCCCCCACCATTTCCACAGTATGGCTTTTTCCTCTGCACTTGTCCTTACCGATCTAAACGATTACATTGCACCTTCGCAAGCTTGTATTAAGCCTGTCGAAGTTGAAAAATCTGAAGACCAAGGACCTGTAAGTATACTTGACCAAGATCGTTTTCCTTTATAAAGCTTCGTCTAAGAGCGGCATTAGTAATCAATTCACTTTGTTACTATAGACAGAGATCAAGGTCGATTTAGAGGGCGATTACTATGAGATCTCGAAAGACGGCGGTGAATCGAAACTTGAGAAGGCCTCTATTACTCTAAATGACTGTTTAGCCTGCAGGTAATTGAACATACCTGGTGATTGTGGGAAGCGAAAAGCATGTTGCTGACAAAGGAAACTCTCTTTTCTTTCTACTTTAAGTGGCTGCGTTACTTCGGCCGAGAGTGTCTTGATCACCATGCAGTCGCAAGAAGAATTGTACGGCATTCTCAATACGAATCGATTAGCGATCGAGCATAACGATCCAAGTCAGCATCGCACGATCGTTATATCCATTAGTCCTCAGTCTCGGGCGTCGTTGGCAGCCAAGTACAACATGGAGCCGCTGCAGGTCCACAAACGTCTTGTGTATTTCTTCAAACATCATTTGGGCGCACATCATGTATTCGATACGTCCTTCTCGAGAGACTTATCGCTGGTCGAATCAGCTCGAGAGTTTGTTGACCGTTTCCGTCGATATATGGCGAATGGCGGTGAGAAGTTGGAAGCTGCATTACAGCAACAAGATGCAGAGAAGCAGCAGGAGGCAGAGGATGGAAAACGTCGTCCAAGAGCACGAAGAAGAGCGGCTGCCAAGAATGAGGATGGAGATGGATCAGCGACTCAGCAGGATATGCCTATGCTCGCTTCGGCCTGCCCTGGCTGGGTTTGCTATGCCGAAAAGACTCACGGAGCTGTCATTCCTCATATCACTGCTGCCAAATCGCCTCAACAAATGATGGGTACACTGGTCAAAGATTACTTGGCATCAAAAACGAATACGTCGTAAGTGGTTTGTCGTCAGGAGGGAGTTTGGTTATGTTCAATGGTCCAAATTTTCAACTTATCATACATTGTTTAATTGATAGTCCAAGTGCCATCTATCACGTATCTGTCATGCCCTGCTACGACAAAAAGCTGGAAGCAAGCCGACCAGATTTCTTTTTAGAACAATTCAACACTCGTGAGGTCGATTGTGTTTTGACCACGGGAGAGATTGAAAAGATGTTTATGGAACAGAATGTTCAATTCGATCGACTTCCAGAGGCAGAGATCGATGACATGTAAGTCGACCCTTCTTTTCCTCTCTTTAGTGTATGTAGAGATACTAATTAGACAAATCATACAGGTTCAACAAAACTGTCACAAACGCAGAAATGCAGATGGCTTTCGGCACGGCTGGTTCCTCTTCTGGTGGCTATCTTGAATACATTTTACGCACAGCTGCTCGAGAACTGTTCAATATCCACGATGTTCCAACCGATCCAGCTACAGCACCCAATAATGCTCGTGTCATTGTGAAGACTGGCAAGAACGCAGATGTACGAGAATACTTTTTGCAGGGCGACGATGGTCGGATACTTTTGCGATTTGCAACAGCATTTGGTTTCCGAAATATCCAAAACATTGTACGCAAGGTCAAATCCGGCAAATGCTCGTATCACTATGTGGAGGTGATGGCATGTCCAGGTGGTTGTGTCAATGGGGGTGGTCAGATTCCCAACCCCAACTCGGAAGAAGTGTTGAGCGCCAAAGATTGGGTCAGCCGTGTAGAGAGCGTGTACCAGACAGTCCCTGGTGTAGCTCCAGAAGAGAATGAAGTTCTCAAATCCATATACGAGTAAGTGTAATTATCACAGCTTGTTTTTTTAAGAGAGACTAATTTACTCTGTGCTCAATTGACGTATTCTAGTGAGTGGATCGGCGATCCTTCATCAGAACGAGCACACAAGCTGCTGCGGACACAATATCATGCTGTCACGCAAAGCTTGGCTAACCCTCTTGCCACGAAATGGTAGCTAGAATCAAATTTGTCCCTGTATAGCGCATCTCGCACTCCTCCATACCACCTAATGTCATATACATATACACCCTCCCGTTTGTTTTTGTCCCCATTGTAAAAATATATTTGTTTTATAGATATCATTATTGAAAGGATTTAGTTTAACTGGTTTTGCAGCGTGCTTTATGGACGTCGTAGATTTTTTACGCGACTAACAGGGAAATACTATAAATCTATACCCTTATATGAATTTTGTTATTCATATACTACTAGTGCGCAGCAGATATGCAAATTTGCATCGCTAGAACTAGGAGAAATTGATGCATCCAAGACGAACACTATTAACATAAGATACATGCGACGACGGCTCCAATCGACTTTTCTAGTGACTTTAAGAATATAAATATGGGCGGCAACAACAGCAAGAGAAAAGACATACACACCCAAAAAAATGTACGAACATATGAGAACTAAGGAAAACAAAAATAAAAGTTGAGGGTGACCAGTTTCTATTAGCAAAATAAATTATTCAACACCTCCGAGTTGCCCGTCTGATATAAACTGCTGCGGTAAGAATTACTGCAATCGCTATCCACATATCTGCTTGAATGTAAACACGCCCTTTGGAGAGCACCCTGCTGCCACTTGCATAATGGTGGCTAGCGTACTCCGTGGTGTCTTGGCTACTTCAGATTATTTAGTCCAGATGTATGTGTCCGCCTTTTTGCACGTCTCAATACGTTTTGCACGCTATAAAGTTAAAGTTCAGTTATTATTATGTAAACAACATCGTGCCGCAGCAGTCTTATTGTGGCGCAGCAGCGATACATCAGTTGATCGACACTCTGCTATAGTAGGGTTTTGATATGGGCCTAGAGCACCTGATGTGTGGTCAAGTCATATGTATACCACTCACGTTATAGCAGATGCGTTATTCACAAAGATTAGCCTGACAACTGTGAAATCCATACAAGAGTGCTTACTTGATCTATAATACGAAAGGGAGGACTGAGCTGACAATGAACTTTGATGTGTCGATTCGTGTGTGTGTGTGTGTGTGTGTATTAAGCATCTTTTAACGGGCTTTTTTCCAATCCTGGCAAAAATATGGCTTTCGCTGAAAACCTTCTTGTGATATTTTCCTAACAATTAATCGCAACGGCGCTTGGGATTCATCGCGACTGCTGCTGCTCTTATTTCAACCTATACCATATATAATCAATGGCTTAAAAACAAAGTGCGTATTGTCCTCTTTTATTTTTGGGATGTGGCTATCAAAAAATTTACTCTTGATTTATTAGGAGCTCGAAGATAAATGCCCCGTGGTCCCATATACAAATCCAATGATTGGATCAACACTCGAATATCGCCAAAACCCGCAAGAATTTGTTGAGAAATGGAGTGCTGCTCTGGGACCGGTCTTCAGGGTTCATATTTTTGGACGTGTAAGCTAACTTCCATTGTCACCTTGTTCTCTTAGCATGATGCACATGCAGCAGCAAAAGCAAAGATGCAGGTGGAAATCAATATGTACTAACAAGAGCAACAACTCAACGCGCACCTTCGGGTATTTAGATGCAAACAGTAATCTCGGGAAGCTATGTCCGCGAGATATTTTTCAATGAAAACTTTAGTTTTGCTACAGCTGTTGCCAGGGTAATTACGCAAAAATACTGCCACTTGAAAGAGAAAAAAAGTCTCTAATTGCACTTATGTTTGTATATAGCGATTTAGCCTCAGATGTTGACTGGAATGTCAAAGTATGATGTGGATACTGACGATCTACGCGAAGTGGTTTTGAACTCTTTGACAGTGCGGATGAAAGATTATGTACCACGAGCGATGGCTCAGGTAAGACTTCATCTAAGCATCCTACAAGCAAGTCTACTAATGGTCAATATCGTGAATATCTAAAGTTAGGCATTGGTTTAGAAGAAACTCTTGGGGACTTGGCAGGTAAAGTATATTTAGATTATAATATCAGGGAGGAAACATCTTGCTTATGCTAATAATTATATAGAACCCCGAGAACTTCCTCATCTGTTCCCCCCAGTCCTGCATATGGTCGCCAGGGCTAGTGCGTCCGTCTTTGTAGGCTTGGATCTTTGTCAAGATCAAGAGGTGTTGGGAGCTTTCAAATATATAGTATTTGACGTGGTCCAATCCATGCGCGTGAATAACGTCTGGCTGGAACGTTTTTCCTCATTGAACTATATTTGAGCTCCTTTGTCTAATTAATAAAAACAAAAGGTACGCCGGTAAATATGCGCCAGCTATAAGAAAGAGAAAGTTGCAACTGACGGAGGCATTGAAACCGGTGATCGATGAACGCATGAAAGGAGTTGCTGGGAAATGCGCTTCTTGGACAAGACCGGTAAAGCGCTGTTCTCCTGTTGATTATACTTAATAGCTTTAATAGAAGAAAATTATAGACTAACAACGTCTCAAAGTGTTATGTAGGACAATATCTTGCAGGATATTATCGAAAACCATCCTCCACCGCCGTCTTACCCTGGTAATTGTTACACTTACTTTACCAACTGGGTGATTGCCCTCATTTTTGCCTCGGTAGCAACGACTACAGAGCATGGAGCGTTAGTATTATACCGAATGCTTCAGCACCCTGAAATTGTAGACGAGCTTGTTCAAGAACAAAAAGATGTCTTTGGCGAAGATATTTTGAACAGCAAAGACAACAATGTGTTCACCGGTGAATCTCTCAGAAAGCTTGTAAAGCTGGTTAGCGTTTGCCGTGAAGCCATACGTATGAGAAACGAATATCTTACATTGCCTCATACCAATATTGGTAAACAGAGTTTTACTTTAAGCAACGGTGTTGTTATTCCACCAGGTGGGGTTTTTTTTTCTTCCAGTAACATAAGCTTCAATTCATTGCGACCATACGAATCAGCATACCTTGAGCTAATTTAACATCTCCCACTGTACTAGGTCAAGAGGTTCTGCTAGATGTATGGGCGAACCATCACGACAGCCGATTGCAGAGAGATAACCTTGGAAACTATGACAAATTTGAACCGTTCCGTCATCTTGAGATTGGACGCTCATCAACGAAAATCGGTGATGACTACCTGGTATTTGGAGAAGGAAAACATGCCTGTCCGTAAGTCGGTAGTCATATAGAAAAGCGACGACGATAATTAATAGTGCAGTCATATCACATACTTAAAATTCATTCTTGTTTAACCTCGCTGTATATGCTGTAGTGGTCGATGGTTCGCTTTGCAAGAAATCAAGACTGTTGTAACATTGTTCATCCGCGATTACATCCTCAAACCTAATGGCTCCATAGAGTTTCCAACAGGAGCAGGAACTCGCGTTCCGACTGGCAAAGTTACCATTCAACGGAAAGCGTAGAAAAATGCTCCTGTGTTATGATGATGTATTGTTACTTGTATCATAGAACCAAACAAGCCAATACTATATGTCTTTGATTAACACATAATAAAAATGTATTCACCCGAACGGTTTACATAATTATCTACAATTGCATGTATATCTATCATAATTAGTAAGTAAAATGCTCATGTTAACGCATAAGGCTTCTTTTTTCATAAACAATAAAAGATGGTATCTATTGCTTTCAATTTCAACGATTGGTACGTTACTGTAAAATTAGGCGAGCTGACAGCGTCATTGGTGCGAGCTATAACAAGGTGATGGGTTGTGCTGCAGATCAAAATAAATACCCCCTTGCCTCGGGTATCTAATGCGGATCAACATCAACAACGCATAAGCCATGAATCCAGCTAACCTGTTTTTTCTATATTCATATGCTATCGCAGGCATGCGTACTCCGGAGAAGGCGCCGGATATCCGGTATACACTATCCTCACAAATATACCATGAGCAGCCACCGCCCACTCATTTGGCCAGTAAAGATGCTTTCGTTGTTATAAGAAGCTTTTATAATATAACACTGGCAGCCTTTAGTCGACAAACTATTTTTCAGGACTTCCAAATTATTGTCCATCTATCAATATGTATCATATGATGATGCTTTTTTGTAAACTCTATAATATAAAACTCTCTTGTTAGAGCATCTTTTTTTATGTGTATAGATAACGTAGCGTAAATTAACTCTTTTTCACTACTGTTCAAACATGTACACACAAGGACACGATCAACCTAGAGACATCATCAGCAAACTTTAACCTGAGAGAGACATGGTGCACCAGCGAATTCTGAGGGGCTTGGATCACGGTTGCATTCCTCATCAAGAAATGCTGACTTTTTTTCATGCAGGCTCAGCCCGTGTTATCAGATATCATAAAGCTGTAATGTTGTCTGACCCGTTGTTTAATCACAAAGAAATCATTGGCACCCTTCATGCTTGGCACAAGTCATGTGATTCTTCATCGTTAATTTGTCTTCCGCACTAGAAGGAAAAATTTATATGAACATCAAACCAATTATTGCTTTCTTTTCTTTCTTTCAGTATTCTTGACAAATCGTAAGAACATGGAACTTGCTCAAAGCCTTATCATGCTATCAAGCGATCCGCAACAGCGACGCTTAGGAATCCTTGCAACAGCTGCTGCTCTTGTATCTGTTTATGCACTTTACAAGCAATGGATTAATACAAGGGTATATGCTTTTCCTCAGTACAAAGCACGCTAGGCTTGCTTTTTATTCCCAGTGCTCATTTCCCATATTATCGTACTTGATAGGAGCTTCAAGGAGATTGTCCCTCCGTCCCATATCATAATCCATTTGTAGGATCGACGCTTGAGTACAGAAAGAACCCTCAAGCGTTCGTCGAAAAATGGCACAAAGCACTTGGTCCGGTTTTCCGTGCGCACATCTTTGGAAGAGTAAGCTACTATTGTCGATGTTGATAGGTTCACGTGCTGGAATGCATTGGTGTCATTAATATTTTCAATGTACACAACGATGCATACTAAACACATCCACCTGCATGATGCTATCAGCTCCATACTGTAGTCTCGGGCAAGTATGTCCGCGAGATACTTTTTAACGATCATTTTAGTTTCGCCGGTGGTACCTCCAAGGTATGGAAGAAAAAACTTCCATTTCACTCTTTCTCTATTGTCTCATGCTTGCTTTTCCCATTACGAAGCCATGTGCATATATACTGATATTGATATTACCTGTATGTAATATAATAAATCAAGAATTTTGATATCAGGCTGCTGACAGGTATGCCAGAGGATGATATTTCGAGCCAAGATGTGCGATCAGTCGTTGTCAAATCTTTGACGGTCCAAATGAAGAGTTACACGCCGCGTGCAGTCGCCTATGTAAGATCACTTCCCATTATGAAATTTGTAATTCGACTTGAAAAGCGATTAATTTCCTTAATGCTTGCACATACTTTGTACTACTCTTGAACATATTAAATCATACAGCTGAACGTTGGTTTGAAAGAAGCATTAGGGGATTTGACAGGTACTTTCTTTATTTTTTATTGCGTGATGTACAAGAATAAGATACGTTATAGTTTGCTTAAAGATATATGAGCTTTATTAGAACCTCGGGAGCTATCCAATCTGTTCTTGACTGTGCAACACATGGTCGCAAAAGCAAGTGCCTCAATATTTGTCGGCTTAGATCTTTGCGAAAACAAAGAGCTGGTGGAGGCTTTCAAGTACATTACAACCGATGTCGGTCAGTCAATCCGTATGGATAGCGTCTTTTTTGAGCGTTTTTCTACACTGAATAGGCTGCGCATGTGGTATGTACAGTGCAATATCGAGAACTCATAGTTACAAGTTTTGAGCCAGTTGCTTATTTGATGAGTGCGTGAAATATCTTAGGTATACCGGGAAATATGCTCCGCGCATCCGGAAGCGCAAGTTGCAAATGATCGAAGCAATGAAACCAGAAATTGATCGGCGCATGCGAGGAATCGCCGGGAAAGAACCCTCGTGGACAAGACCGGTAACGATCTTAATTATATATTATCAGCAACCATATCATAGATCTGACAGAAATAATGATGATACTATGCTATTCACTAGGCTGATATTTTGCAAGAGATTATCGAAAATTATGCACCACCTGCATCTAGTGATACCAACATCTATACATATTTCACACATTGGATGATCGCTCTCACTTTCGCAGCCATACACACCACCTCAGAGCACGCCACAGTTGTACTATACCGCCTATTGCAGCAACCCGAAATTATCGACGAGCTTCTTCAAGAACAAAAAGAAGTATTCGGCGATGATCACACTAACAGCAATGTTTTCACTGGTGATGCTATCAAGAAACTGGTGAAGCTGGACAGCGTTTGTCGTGAAGCATTACGTGCCAAGAATGTCTTTTTGGATTTGCCTCATTCAAACACAGGGGGACAAAGCATTACTCTCAGTAACGGTGTCGTTATTCCTTCAGGTGAGTGTGGTGTGCTTGTGCGAAAAGGTCTTATTTTTCCTTCTTTGCTATTTGTTGCAATAATGCATAAACTGATACAAATGGTAATTTAGGCCATGATGTTCTGTTGAACCAATGGATGAATCACCATGATAACGAATTGCAAAAGGATACCGCTGGAAATTATGATAACTTTGAACCGTTTCGTTATGTTGATATGCATTGTCCATCAACAAAAATTGGTGATGGCTATCTAACATTTGGCGAGGGGAAACATGCATGCCCGTAAGCATTGGAGAAGAAGTTATTATCATTGGGCGCTTATTTAAGGATCTTTATGCAATAACACCTTCTTCTCAACAATGATAGTGGTCGCTGGTTTGCATTACAAGAAATCAAAACGATCGTCTCTGTCCTCATCCGCGATTACACACTCAAAGCGAACGGACCTATTGAGTTCCCAACAGGCACGAAATCCGGTATTCCCACGGGAAAAGTTTCCATTCAGCGAAAAATGATGTAAAACAAATGGTTCAAAGAAAAGCTATGGGAAATGTAGTTTGCTATGTACAAAAAGATATAAAACGATTATAATCTTTGCGTTTATGATGCGTAACGGTTGAATGTACCCATTGTCAAGTAATTGCCCTTGACCTCCTTTTTTGCATATATACTCTTCACTGCTTGCGACACCTCTTTGTTCTTTTCCTTCTCAGCAAGCTCTTGGGCCACTTTACCCATCACGGCAGCAGCTGCGGACGAAGAAATGTTGGACTTCTTAGCAGGTGGTGCCAAACTGGACTGCTGTGGCGGTGAAGTCTTGTCTCGCTTTCTCTTCTTTTCTTTATCTGATCCACCCTCCTGCTTGGCGGCCTTCTTTGCTTTCTATAATACGAGTAAAAGAAAGAAATCTAATCAGCAATCGTTGCTATCTCCTTAAGTTTGACCAGATAGCTACATTTTAAATCTACATACTTTTTCAGCTTTTGCTTGTGCTTTCTTGGCTTTTATAACCGTCTTCATACCATCCAACTCTTCCTTGTTGGGATTGATGACAATAACATTTTCGGATTCAAAAGGTTTACCGCACTAATAACACAACTTATTGTTAGCTTCCTATCATCTCTTTTACAACCATTCAAACCGCAGCGATATTATGTACATGTGAACAGAAAAACATGACTTACAGAAACGCATTCCTTCGACTTGACTTCTTTCAGAGACTGTTCGGCAAAGACACAGCCGCAGGTATCCAAATAGACAAAACGGTGCTTTCCATTCATCTCCTTCATTGAAATCGGGCAAATAAATCGACTCTTCATTTCCTTGTCCAGGTGACCCATGGTAGTTGAGTCCTTGTCAGACTTGGATTCATCGTATGAAGGATTGGGTGTCAAGTTGAGTTTTACAGTGTCTTTTGGAGAGCTAATGTGGGAACAGATCTTGTCGCCATCACCATAAGCATTCTTGTCGAGAAGATATTCAATAATGGCATCCTGATTGTACAATTTACCCAGACCGCACGATACAATGGGTGTTTGTAATGTTTGCTAAACAATTTCCGTGAATCAGATGAATCTGGACTGTTCCTTAAACACCCTTATAGTAAAATCGAAGTCATAGCTTTTCTTTTCTCTCTTACCTTTGATAAGGCACAGTAGAACCAGGCAGCGATCCGTTCAAGATCAGGATTGATCTTGACCTCTTTTTGCTTTTCCTTGACTAATTCGATACGTCGTGGTATAGATCCCCCGTCGTTACCCATGCTGATGACCTGTAAAGTGAATGGAAGCGAGAAAGCGAAATGCGTTATAGCAAGCTGTATCCGATAGGTACGAATTTATTATAGGGCGTTAGAGTTCGGCATTACTGACAAACCGAACCAATCAAAGGCATCGCCCTGTCTGTATCCAATCAGTTTATGAACATCTCCAATGCTTCCCCACACTGGATACTTTAGGTGCACATGTATGCATGGATAAAAAATAGCTTTACTTTTGACATACGAAAAATTGACTTGAAGTAACAGAAATGTACAGTAGTAAAATATATGGATATCATCTTCTTCTAGTAGTTCGCTGGCCGCGCGAACCCACTTGGTTCCTGCGTCAGCGTCGGCAAGTGCACGAATGTTTCGTAAGCATTACTATAGTAGACAAGAGCGACATGGTCATGTTAGAAGAGTAAAGTAAAAAGGCGTCGTAGTCATTCATAAAGATACATATCTCAGCATCTTCAATCAAATAAACAAAAAATGTATTTCGAAACTTACCGGAACCATTTAGCAATACCGTATTTCATACCACGAACAAACGACGAGGTAGACGATGTTGTAGAGCGTACTTTTGTGGCGTCCCGTACACGCCACCAGCGCCACACTTGAGACAGTAAACTCCATGAGAACCCGTTAATAAAGGGCATGACAAACTGGTTGACAATGACAGCAGAGAAGAATATTTGAGCATTGGTAGCGCCCTGTTCACGCATTGTTGCAACAGATTTTCTGAATTGAGGCTCGAAACGCATATCGGGAATAGGAGGTCGCTTTATGCCACCCAGATGACGATCGTCATGATCAATGTCGTCGATAATATCGCCACTCTCGTAGAATCGTTGGTGCTCGCGTCGTTGGTTTTCGAGTATTTGAATAAGTTCATCGTCATTATAGTCGCGGTACGGGTTGCTGGAGCTGCTAGATTCCATTGTGAACGTTCAAAGTGCAAGGAAAAGTAGAGTTCGGTGCTGAACAACCCAGCGCGTAACCTCAGCCAGCGGAGTCCCTGGCCTAGATAAGTGCATATAACCTAAGCTTGTTGACGGCCACACACGGGGTTTCCAAAAAGTAATGTCGCAGCCAGTAGAAATCAATGTCGCAGGCCAATAAAAATCAATGTCGCTTGGCAGCAAAATTAATGTCACATGCTCCAAAATTGAAGTCGTTTGCTTAGAAAATCAAATGTCGCATTTTTTGAAAATCTTGTAAAAAATCTTGTCGCATTTGTTGATATTGATGTCGCGTGTTTTTAGAAACAACATTGCGAATGTTGCACTAAGCCGTCAAATGAAGAACAATTTGGACATTATTTTCATAAAGTTTTGATATCTAACTTATAATAGATAAAATTTTACTTACCTTTTATATTACGATTATTTTCTTACTGTTGCGGTTACGAGCTTACAGGTTCTCTTTTCTACGACACTTATCTAAACATCTATGTGAATGAGAAACAAACCCAATAAAGTCTGTAGGTTCTACATTATTACATGCTTCACGGATTCTTGTTGATAAGGTCTCTTGCTGTAAGAATCGTTGGCGTTTAATCTTGCTCTTTGCAAGAGACCAAAATTGTTCTATTGGGTTAAGCTCAGGAGAATATGGAGGAAGATATGCACATCGATATCCACGATACTCAACATATTTTGCAATATCATTGGAAGTGTGTATCGGGGCGTTGTCTATAATTAAATAATGCCCTTTCATATGTGGATGTTTATCCATTTCATCTCATGTTTCCTTCAAAAAGCTGACGTAGTGACCTGTAACAGTTCCAGTGCTCAGAATTCCAGATTCTTGACCAGCTTTTCTCTTCTTACGAGGACTAGGTATTCTCACACTAACTTTGATTAATCCTGAAGCAGAGATGGCTCCTAATACCGTGGTACTATTTGCTCTTGTACAGAGTTTCCAAAAAGTAATGTCGCACCTAGTAAAAATTAAATGTCGCAGGCTGATAAAAATCATTGTCGCATTTTCTGAAAACCTTGTCGCTTAGTAATTTAACACAATAAATCCAAATTATACTTACTTGTTCCTTCTTCTTCTTCTTCTTCTTCTTCTTCTTCATTGTTGTTGTTGTGTGTGCGAGAGAGAGAGAGAGAATCTATAATAACACGAACAGCTTAGCCGACCGTTTCAGTTATTGTCCAACTATGATCAATCTCAATCCGATTTCCCATTCATAACATATCAAAGAGCATAAAATACAAGTACTTTTTGAAAGGATTGAGGAGGCGAATCTCAACAAGAAAAATAGAAAAAAGGCCAAGGTAATGATCTTGCTCACTTTTAGGTGCTTATTATATAAAGAACTTTATGCAAAAATATTTTTGGCGGTCTCAATACTATTCATTATAATAAACCCAATAAACTATAAAAAATAATCTTGATGCATATCATTCGACAAGCCAGAAACCGCTCTTTCTTTTTTGTTATAAATGATTTATATCTTTATTTGAAAACGTTCATTAAAAGTTTGATAGAAAGTGTGAGAAAAAAAACAGAGATTATTCTCGATCACATTATGCTAACTATTATGTGCTGCTGAGGTTATTAGTACTGTGGTGAACCACATTAATACACTGCTTAAGATATCAACAATAAGATATTCGGTTAAACATCATAGCACACACGTATGAACACTACGGCATTTCGGCTAAACACTATTGAATAAAATCTCTCACTCAGATGATCCACCTTACGTGAACAGGACAATGAACCTATCAACAGGTACCTCGGCCATTACATCAGCTAACGCCGGTTTCAAAGATGTGCCCGATTAACATAGCGACTTCAATAGAAGTTCTGATACGTCCTTGATCCATCCTCTATCACATAGTTTATCCATTAGTCGGATGAATTGATATCGCCGTCTTAATAGCTAGAATATAAAAGAGCTTTATCTTTTGTTGGAATAAAACATCATCTCAAAGATACTTAATCTTGTCCCTTATTATCTTTATTAAAGCTCTATCATCACAAGTACAACATAAACCAATCGAGCCCCCTTCCTTTTTGCATGATAATCCAAAGCTATTATGTTCCCATTTCATCTTTATTAAGTTCACGACTAAAGAAAATGACACAATTATGTAGATTATTCCTGAGTCTTCATAATTTTTATTTTTTTCGTCCCTATTTTTTACTGTTACTCTTGACATATTTCTTTTTCGCATGGAGCAGACAATGTAGTAAGTGTTTTTATGGTACATATTTTGTACATTTTAATATGTATATAGGATTCTGTGTTTTCAAGGGAAAAGTTTCCTGATCTCTACATTTGTAATTAGGTGCCATCCCATAGCTCCGAATATTTTGTTTTTGCTCGACAGCTTTGTGAGCTTGCCAACGCTGAAACCGCCTATCCACCTATCGACTTACAATTGCGGCGGACCATACCAGTACTTGTACATAATCTGGATCTTCGGTTTCAGCAGACGCATGAGGGTGCACAGCGGTTGGAGATGATGATTGAGGAACAATTCGCTCAAAACAATGCCATTTGTGTATTAAAAAGCAGAATAGACAAAGGGACATTGAAATACCATGCTTTCCCGTTCTTTTTACCAACAACAGCATTTTATGCATGATCTTGGATCATACACATCATCACACACACCATCATTCCCACCAATGGATACAAATGGGCAGCCTTCGCATCTGATGAATCCTATATTGTATAACACACACATACACACACACACCAGATCCGCCGCCACAGTATCATCATCACGCATACAACTCACATTAACCACACCAGCCATATCATCCACATCGTCCGTATCGTCTGTATCCTCCATATCAACAGCATCAGCAATCGCCTCCTCCTCTACCTATATAACCACTGACTCATGGGTATTCTCCTATGTCCATTGACTCTGCTAATGATGAACAGCAGCAGACTCCTAGCGCTAGTTCTGAACCACCACAATATACCATGAATAAGAACGTGGCAACTGTCACAGAGTTGTGGAAGGAATATGATCAAGGACTTGGTGGTGGACCTTCCATTCGACATTTGGAGAGTACTTATGGTACTGGATCGCGATCGAATAAATCAGTTTCGCGCCATTATACTAGTCGCAAATTCATCTTGGATGAAATAAAACGAATAGCTCACGCCAAAAACATCACTGAACGTGATGCAGTTCTAGCCTTGGAAAATGACAGGCAACGTCAGAGGTTATCTCTATACGCCCTTCAAAAAAAAATTACAAATAACAATAAAAATTTAAACCAATAGAGTGAGATAATATCTTTAAGAATACATCATTCACATCTATAATATAGTCCATTATATGAACCATATGAGAATCAAAGGCAATAGTAAGTGTAAAAGCTTAAGTCAAAAGCAAAAAATGATATAACCTTACCTCGATTTTTAGTATATGGGTATTTATGTGTTATCAATCCAAATAAGACTTGCACTTTTGTCTAAGTGAGAGTAGTGTTTTCATGCCAACATGCCGTAAAATAAAAAGTTGATTTAGAGGGTGTAGAATATACGAATGAGGGTAATGTTGTCATCCAGTGTACTTTAAAATAATCATAAAAAGTTGAAATCTATAAAAGTCCAAGTGTTTAATTTTTTTCTTATACAATTGCTTGTATAAAATCGTTGGCATAAACGCGTTCATAAAAATGGTGTAAAATGTATAGTACTAGCAAAGGACATGCTAAGTTTGGCTGGTTTTTTATAAATACTACGAATAATAAATAAAATAATGATTGTATTGGTATAACAAAAGAAAAATATGTTTAATTATGAACTTGGATCGTTGTGTGTAAAGAATGTTCGTTTTTTTAATATATTGATTCATAATGGGAGTAACAAAATGAATTAGGTACATGAGCAGGTTTTTTGAGGTGAGGGGTGTTGTAGGAAAAACCATAGCAATAAAAAACTACAAACAAGGGTATCAAAGACTCAGTCTTGACTTCTGGAAGACCTTATCATTTTTTATTTGATCTCGAATCACGTGCCCACGTTCCGGCTCGGACCTTGGTATTTCTTTTACCTAATGAGAGGGGGTGCCAATAAAACTTCATTGTCTTATTTCCATAGAAATCTGTTTTCATAGCAATCTGTTTCCATAGCAACATGTTTACTACGTTTCCCAACTACGAGTTTCCTGAAAACCACGACCAAAAGCGTCGGTTTTTTTCTGAAAACAATCCAAAGGATTGGGACTTCGGCCATTTTGCTACCGCGTTTCCGGAGCATAGCAACGAACGTAATCACCTAGACTACATAAATGGCCTCAATTGGATCAAACAGCACTGGACACTAGACCATATATTGTTATATCATGTAATTTTATAAACCACTTGCTAATTTATAACCTAGAAGAAAGTTATTGCATTAAATTATTATCATGAGATAAAATGTTTATCAATTAAAAAAATTTAATTTTAAAAGGCCTATATAATATAAAATGATTAACAATAAAAAAAATAAGATACTCTACATATATTGATTTTTTATTAAAAATAGACTACTATAACAAAATAAAATTATTTTATTAATAGTTTATCTATAATGTTTTTTAAATCAAGTTGCATAATATTTCCAAAATATATATATTTAATTTTTTTTATTTTTCTTTAATTTTTTAATTATTTTTTTCTTATTATTCTTTAGTTTATTAATTTTATCAAAAGGTTTATCTAGCTAAATATTTATATTTTGTTGAACCTTAGGTTCAAATAAACCTTTAATATTTATTTTTTTCCTTTTTCTTCTTTCAGGAATATGATCAGGGTTATGTTTAGTGCATACAAATTTATCTTTACTTCCTTTTACTATTATCTTTTTACAACAAATCATCCCTTCATTTTTACCTTTACTATATTTATAAGCGCAAAAGTTATTTTCTATATTTTTATATATAAAATGATTAGAATCAAATAATTCTCCAATTTTATTTTTAATTGTTTTACTAATATATGTAATAATTTTTATATCTATTTTATTATCTAATTCTATTTTTATTGTTTCATTTAATTCTATTATAATATTATTTTTTAAATTTAATTTATCAAATGGAAGATATTTATTTAAGCAGACCATTTTCTTTTTATCTTAAAAAATAATAAATAA